TGGAGTACCTGTTCCAAACTACTACGAAGATCACAGTCACTCAACCTGCTCACCCTGGAAAAGGACCTTGCCAACACGCTGGGTCTCAACATCGATGACTTCAATCAGCGCACCAAGGTCCACGACCATTTGGCCAGCTTGGTACTTCAATTTCTTCAGCAACATCACACCTCTCTCGCACCTGCCACCCAGACAGATGACATGGTCAAAAAGTTCAATGATCTAAATCGTGCGCACGAACTTCTCCAAGCTCAGTATTCCGCATCGCTTCGCGCATCGACCTCTCCCACGATGACAAACCAGAAGGATGATGCAGAGTTGGTTACACCGCCACCGGTCAACCACACACCATCCTCGTCACCTGACAGCTCCCTTCCTACAGCCAGCGCAGCCGCCCTGGATGGCAAGTCGTTTGATAGCGTGGTGCAACCTCGGATCATTCAGTCTCTTCACGGAGTGTCGTCACCGCCGTCCAAACCGGCGGCGTCACAATTGCTCACCATGCACAGCACGCCGGATGAAGTTGTCAAGTACTACACATGGACCAGTGACCAACCTCGCCTTTATCTCAAGCAATCACCCACAACCACCACTTTGGCATCGCTGGTTAAGTGGGCCAATCACCCGTCCCGGCTCAACGGCAACAAGTCATTAGATTCTATGGCGACGCAGCTCCTTCAGGCGCGGCAACGCATGCCGAAAGGCGACGCACCCACGCTCGGGGCGATGGCGGCTTCGTGGGGACTAGAGCCCGGCTATCTTACCAAACTCACTGAGAAGGCATTGAGTCACCTCATCGTGACCGCTCGCCTACTCTGTGGATGAGAAGGCATCATGATGACCTTCGTTCTCTTATGAGCCCGGAGCGGCAACAATGTCACGGATGAGTCCAGGTGAAAACTCGTCCGTCAAGTGTCTGCGTTGCACCAGATTGATCTTGTACTTGCTCGTTCTTGCATTGCCTCTTGTGTGATTGTCTGTGATGCTTGTATTCATGTCGCCGCCTTGTGGTAGATTTCATTGGTTGTATCTCACCATGTTGGATGAACTTCGCCGCTGCGGAATCTATGATGATGTTGCACAATGGCAGTCGCTGGACGACCTTCTACACTCGTTGACCATGTTCTCTACGTGCTGGCAGTACTGTTTTCCTGGACTACCACCACCGTCGATTCCAACTGAGGAGTACGAATCCATCACACAATTGCCGTGGCTGGGTCTCATCCTCGAAGTCTTAGTTGTGATCCGGATAGCCCTTCAGATTCCGAATCACGCTATGTCACACTCTCAGCACACCGTGGCCAACAGGTATGAGCTTCACAGATGTCGGTGCGCTGCCTATTTATTGATTAGTTTCTTACAACGTCTCATTTCACAAGATCACGGCTACTTCCCGCCGTTCTTTGAAGTCCTTCACTTCTACAAGACTTCTCTCTTGTGTGAAATCATGCACTCTACTTTTGCTGACACGCGACATCTACGCTCATTGCGGGCGCGATTTCCTGACCTCTATGACTTCATACACGATCCAGGTCATCATCAACAACCGTGCGTCTACATTCGACTTTCCCCATGGCACACACCATACTATGTTGGGGCGACTGATCAGGATGTTCTACGTCGTGAACACTCACGCAGTCGCAAATTTCTACAACTACTTCGTGGACGGCATGCCTTCTTTGAACCAGCGCTTCACTACTGGAAGAGATCCAATACTTACTGGCTCTTCTGTGCTGTTCCAGTGGAAATCAAACTTCCTGTTTCCTCGGTGTGGGTTCAAGAAAGCAAATGGCAATACCTGCTACGCCCGCATTTGAATGCGCCCTGGGTACACAGAATCTTGCGCAAGGTGGGCTTCCGGGAACATCTTGTGGATTTTCGACGTCACTCGTTGTCCTCTCCCACTTCCCTCGGCTTGCAC